GAGTCAGAAAGTTAACTCCTGAACTCAGACTGGCTCAGCGCAAGCCAAACTCTTGGCACTGGCAGTCCAAAAGATTAAGGTGCAGCGTAAACATCACAACACTCACAACAGACAGAACAATATCTATTTTGAGCTGATGCCTTAAGAGAATACTTCATTTGAAAAACCTGAAAGTGAGAATTTAGAGAATGCACAACGTTCTGAACCAAATTTTTCCCAAGTTTTGAGCCAAGGCCTCTCGGAACAATTAGGCCTTCACACTTATAATGCCTAACATATCGCCCAACAAGCTTTGACCACTGCTCACCATGTTCCCCTAGCCACATGTGTCATCACCAAGTGGTGATACCCTATCCCAAGCAGTTAAATGAAAATAGAAATAGGTGGGATGGGGTGGTACCTTTTTACTGTAAAACGTCTGTTTAGTTAAAGGTTTGTTAGAGATAATGTCACGTTCAGCCCCCTCCTCTCCTCCTCCAATCAGAGAATGTCTAGTATTCATTAAAAAAATACAAGACATTTTGTTAATGGGTATAGTAAAAAGGGATAAGTGATGTGACCATAGCACTGTACAGCTCAGGAGACATCGCTCGCTCTTTTAAGTGCCTGGAAGCTGAGCGTTCTGTGCAGTGGACAGTGTGCTGCAAGGTTTTTTTATACTTTGCAGCCGCTCTCTGCACATGACACCCTGCTTTTTAATGATGTGACCGATTCCGGCACTCAGGATGAGTATGTCCGTCGCTGTAGTCTTCCCTGCTGAGGAGATGCTGCAACTCGATGATCTTTAGCTCCCAGTCCACCCAGTCACTAGCCGAAACCAAGTGTAGGGTAAAACAAAATCTGCTTTATTGAGCAACTGTGCAATATTTTATGCACAAAGTAATCAGATAAGATTGTAATCACATCACGTACACCCTGCCCTCCTTAGACATCCTGACTCCTCAACCCCGCCGGGGTCTAGCTGCCCAAGAGCTCCAGGTGGCCGCAGCAGGGGTCCGGACAGACAAACCGGCAGGAGAATGTCATTGCCTCGAGCTACTGACACTCTTTTGATAAAAAGGTTACCCGGTATAACATACTTAAAAATAGCCCAACAATAATACACACATCATCCATAAACTGATAAACAGGTCTTCACAATGGGATTATCTCATGAGTGTCTATCGTATGTTCATTTACTCAGCTACACCTAGTGTCAGAGTTAAATTAATCCCATTGTTAACACAATCACATGAATGGACAAACTGTCACAAGTTCACTGGGAGTCTAATTCCTCCAATTAACCGATTAATCAAACTCAATAATCGGCTAACTAATCGATTTTGAAAATAATCGTTAGCTGCAGCTCTAGTCCAGAGTTAACCCCTTTGGTGTTGCTTGATTCACACCCTGTATCTTTAATTGGCACAGGGTGACTTAAACATAATGCCAGGGGAAAGACTTGGCAAATCCACTCCACACATAAATCTGGGTTAATAGTTCCAAGGGGTACACATACACAGCAATCCTCTGGGTTCCAGGAACAGTCCCTCAAGTCTTAGTTCCATGTAACCCCAAGATTGTCTGAGGGGGATCTCCATATTCCTAGGGCTGTAGTCGCTGGGAAGGAGGGTGGCCCCCAGGCCCCTACAGTAGCCCAGGTCACGGTGGGCTCAGTGACAAATGATAATTTACACAACCTTTGTGGGTGTGTAAATTATCATTCTGCCCGGTGTGTGCTTTAAATGTTTATCTAAGGGCAAAACGTATTATTTCACTTTGCATTGAGTAGGGAATGGTTGCAACCTGTCAGTTGTTTTGTGGCCATTTGTGTTCCATGCAAAAGATTTCCAAGTGATTTCCCCTCACCTCCTGTTCTGATGACAACTTAAAATGTTGGATTCCTCATCACTTTCAGTCTTGGTGACGTTGGTCAACAGGGCAAATAAAGAGGATGGATCTCCCTAGCAGAGATAAAAACGTAAAAATGTTCTAACTACCCTTATACTAGGGTACAGAACTAAAAATTATTAACAGGTAAACGCACTAATACCTCAGTAACGATACCCTATGCTTTCCCTTTAAAAGATCCTCCTCTGTTTACCCACTGGGATCAAAGCTGCATTGTGTGTCGGTGAATTTATTTACCCTGATCTTTCATTGTGGATGTTTTTTGCATGTTTGCCGTGAGTTCCTTAATATGTTATTTTTTTCTGGATTTTATAGCCTCATAATTTCCCACCCACAGTGCTGGAACTTTATAAATCGCGCTCCTCCCAGCATGACGTCCTATAGACATTATGCGCCTTTAGTGTTAGCACACACAACGCTTCTTATAAATCTGGAACAAACAGCAGAGTAACACCCCAGCTCTCTCTGTTCTCTATTGTGTCACATTAACCTACTCACAATCAGAGAGCCATAGCCAGTGAAGCCTTCTGGAGCGGCACCATTAAGCTCTTCCAGCCAGGAGGCAGTTAAAGCGGCCCCACTTCCAGCCTCGAAAAGAACAACCTTGAATGCAGCGGAAACTTTGTAACAAAACAGCCTGAGAGGCGATCCGGAGTCCCATTCTTCCGCCTAACGAAGTGTGAAGCGAGCGCGGACTCCCCGCGGACACTGAAAGGGTCAATCCAGCTTTTCTCTGAAGAACCACCCCATCTACGCCCTATATATCTGCCTCCACCGTTGCCAGGCCCAACAGAGCAATGGGTTAATTAATTATGTATCATGCTGCTCGCTGATGGGTGATTAATAGATCCTATAAATAACTTTTGTGCTTGGGGCGGACGACCCTCGACCCCCGCCATGATCTGAATGGATGACAAATGCTGGGAAATCTCCCACTGCCACCAGTACAAATGTGACTCCGGCGGCATTGTATGTTATGGGTATCACACAGCCCCCCATCCAAAAAAAAAGACGCACTTATAGTAAGAGTCATGCGATGCTTATCAGTGAACTAGAAAATGTCACCAACTTCTGCAACATTGGCCAAGATTTAAGGCATTTCAATACTTTCCCGCAATAATTACTGCTCAGGAAAGCTTATTTAAACTCATGCCATGTATAGGAACAAGGCTGTAGCCTTGACAATGTGGTGCACTCCTAAACTGCTGCATGCTGCAGTATGGTTGCTACTTACACAGTGATAACCAGTGAATGCCTCATCACTGCACCAAAACTGTCCACTCAACAGCAGTATTCAAAGCCATTAATGTGACCCTAAGCTTTGCCCATGAAAGACAAGGTAATAGAGTCACCAAAATTCCCATTTTACCCCTCCACATACACTTAAAGTCATATTAAAATCAAAAGGTTTTTAAGCTATTTCAAATGCTGATGAAATGACTTACAATGGATGCTGCTACTTGATGTTTAAAAGTTTTAGTTTCCTACAGAATCTGTTGGTCTATTGGGCACTGGCCCTGATATCCTGTTTCAGGGTGGGTCCTTTCCCTTGTTGGGTCCTATGGAACTACCCGTGTGTGTGATAGTAAGCTGTGTGCATCTAGACAAACACACAGACACAGCAAGGACATACACTCCCCTTTCTCCCTCTTCTCTATTCCCATCTAGTATGTGGACAACTACTGGAGACTGCTCTGTCCCTTGTGATCTTGTACTGGTCAGGAAGTCCAGGGAAGCTGAGCTGAGGGAGTTGGGGCTGTTTGGAAACATGATGACTGTAAGTGCTTGGGTAAAATATAAAGAAGTACTTTGCTGGGCAATGAATATTTGTTTAAACTGGATTCATTATTCATAAAAAAAGTTTGAGAGTTTAATATTAATTTAATGTCCCTTTGTTCCCCTGTCAATCTGTTTGCCTATGAAGAAGAGACCCTGTGTCAGGCCCAGGTGGATGTGGTCCTAGCTTACACAGGGCTAAGGACTCTCCCTACACCACTATGTGACAGTGCTTGGCCCTAGCAGTTGGTCACTCATTTTTGGAGGAAGGGAAATGAGTCACATGGCCCATTCCCAGAAGTACGGGTTTTTATTTTTGCACCGGAGTGGCATGGAGTTGAAGGGATGGTCAGTATAAACATTTGGTTTGACAACTGATATACAGTCCTGCATCAACCTAAACACACACTGTTAGGTTAACTAGCTTACATTAAATGCCCCCGGGGGTAATGTAACATTACACTGTATGCTAAGCTGGCCATAGAAGGTTCTGTGCCATTTGGGCATTCCGTATAACCTATATAAATTATTACGCATCCTTTACTGCTGCCTGTGTCCCCACTAAGGAAATTGACACCCAGTGACACCACATAAATGAAGGGGACACAAGTAGTAAGAGATTAATTTTCTCATTTAAAGAAAACCTCCAGTTTAAACCATAGCTTTGATTTATAGTGGCAAGGCCTTGAAACTTTTTTAACGTAACCAGTAACATTCTAACTTTTTTCCTTGCAGTAAGCAATCAGCTAAAAGGCATTCTAGGTATATATCCATTTATCCATCCTTTATATCATGAGCCCCCTTCATATCAGAGTCCCCTTCACATCAGAAGCCCCCCTTCACATCAAAAGGCCCAGTTAATTTTCACATTAAAGCTCTCCTTATATATCAGAGCCCCCCCTTTCACATTAAAGCTCTCCTTATATATCAGAGCCCCCCCTTTACATCAGAGATCCCCTTAAGTGTCATTTGAAGGCACCCCTGACAAAACCAGAAGGCACACTGGTTGGGAAAGGCTGGCCCATCTTATATATAACAGAATAAGGGGAGCTCCTGTTGCATTGTGGGAGTTATTTATTGTTTACTATGTGATGACTTTGTAAAGAGGAAGAGCAGCTTTATGGAAGTCCTCCGTTTTGAATTCTGGTAGAAGCTTTAACCCCAATGTTCTATCTTTCATGACGGGATTTGTGAAATTCCATTGGGGAGTTATAATGTGGATAATTTTATACAACTATTGCTTTGCAGTGTTGTTCTCTAAGCCCATATAACACCTCTACAGCCTCTTGCTGGATGGAGATTTCATGGTCTATGATGTGTACAGATGAACTCACCGCCTCCGTTCTTATAGCAGAGATAAGGAAATCTCCAAACATTCCCCAGACCAATAATTTCACCAGCAACGGACAAGACGAATTCGACTTTATTGCCCCATTGCCCTCGATCCTCCATCTTCCCCTCCGAGCCCGGGTCCTTCGATCGGGCGCAGAGGGCGTCTGACTTCTCGGCCTCATTCCAGGCTTCCTCACAGTGCTTGCGACCCATCACCCTGCGGGTTAAAGAAGAGGGGCGTTATTCAGGATCAGCTGCCCGCTCCACCATGACGTCAGTGGGACAGAGACAATTAGGATTGAATTGAGTCATTCATCAGCGGCAAAGAGACCGCTCACTGCTGTATAATAGAGAGCTGAGGGGAGAGGACAATATACAATGTGACCGGAACATAAAGAGGACAGAACAGTCACACATTGGCATTAGAGTTATAAATAAAAATACAAAAATATGGGGCTTAGTCTTTAAAACTTTTCCAAAGCCAAAACTTTTGGGGGCTTTAGATACACTCCAAAATGTTAGAGTTATCACCAGAACATGAATAGAGGGGAAATCTCCTGATGGGGGCACCTGTTTCAGTCAACTGTCTAGGAGAGGATTTCCTCTCACTTTGGAGAGATTTCCCTTTCATTCCTCTTGTGTCTCAAAGACAGGAAATCGAAGGTAATCTCCCCAATGAAACAGTCAATACAACTTTCAAGCTGCAGGGACTGTAATCCACATACTGTACATGAATTCTGTCATTAAGCCCTGATGAAGGGGGTGTGATTTGGAGCCCTGAAACGTGTTGGCAACTCTACTTGGATTGTATGACTTAAAACAGTGTAGCGCTCCTACTGTATTAAATCATATAATTTGTATCTAGTGTGTGGGCACTTTGGAAAGTTTCAGCAACTTAGGTAATTTGTGAGATAGGGGGATAGAGGGATAAGGGCAAGTGCAGAGGTTTTTTATTATATCAACTCTACTTGAATGTCCCCTAAAAGTGGTATCTGGACTATTTTAATTGGCGTGGTGCTTCAATACCTACATCTACTTGCATGCAAATGCAGTCTGCTTATGAACGCCCGCGCCTCCAGACTGACATCAAATCACAAAGGCATTTTTACATTTGCATAACTCCTCCCAAGAGACAATCCACTGCTTACATCAGGACTGAGGGCTCTTGAGAAGAATACTAAGGCAGGGTGCCGTGATGGTTTCAGGAACCTATGTACAGCACCATGCTGGCCCCCCCCACCAGCAATGATGTGCCTGCATTATATAGAGAAGCACAGATACTCTGTGATAATGTCACTGGGTGTAAAATAACTCATGTAATGAAAGCAAAATAGTTTTATTTCAAAATTTGTTCATAGGGGGGGGGGGGGGGGGGGGGAGGCGCAAACCTGCACAAAATACAAGCGATCCAGCAGCTTGGGGGGGGGGCAGGGAAGGCAAAATATAAGCAGATTAAACTTCAGCTTTATTGTTTTCTTTGGGTAGACCATAGTAATGATTTGTATATTTGTATTTATTCCCCTGCCCCTTTGAACACCCGACAGTGGGAGTCATGGAGCCCAATGTGGTGATGGAAGGAGGAGGAATATTAGATCAGAAGGAATATTTGTTATAGTTTCTGATGTGGTTTTGTCCAGCTAAAATCTCTTTGAATTAATTCCCTTTGATGATAAGCTGTGATCCGGCCCTGTAAACATATTTCATGTATTATGCACAATGTACTCACCGGGTTGGGCCTGGCATCTTCCTACTGTCCTGCCGCATAGCGTGCCTCAAAGAAACCAACTCTACCTATTCTGATGCACGGGCCGGGCCCTCCTACTCATCTTGTCTTGATTTGTGTTGTAACTGTAATGCCTTCCTTATATTGTACAGTGCTGCACAAACTGTTGGCGCTATATAAATCCTGTATAATAATAATAATAATGATGAAATCTATTTGGTTGCTGCACTTCCTTTCCTTGCTGTCCCTTACCTAATAACCATTAAAGAGAATGTCTCTGGGAAGGTTCTCATTCATCCAGGTCATGGTATATCTGTAAAAAATAAGTCAAGGCAACTGGACTTGCTGTATTTTTCTTGAAGACATTTCACTGGACATCCAACCAGCTTTCTCAATTAAGAATGACTTGTACAAAAACTCTCCGGGAATAAATATGGTGAATGTTGCTCCAATTCACATAACCTGTTAGTCACAACCAGGTATTCATATTTTTAAATAAATGGCTTCATTCACACATCTTTTGAACCAGTCCACCTCCCTGTCTAGGATGCGTACTCCACTGTCTTCAAAGGAGTGACCTTTTTCTTTTAGGTGTAGGTACACAGCTGAATCCTGACCAGAGGGTTTGGCTCTTCTATGCTGTGCCATACGCTGGTGTAGCTGCTGTTTTGTTTCACCGACATACAATTCTGAGCACTCCTCACTGCACTGGACTGCATACACAATGTTGTTTATCTTGTGTTTTGGTGTTGGGTCTTTTGGGTGAACCAGTTGTTGCCTCAGTGTATTGCTGGGTTTAAGGGCTTGTTCCCACCGAAAGCGTGTGCGTTCCAGAGCAGTAGCTGCTGGAACACACCGCGATCACTAAGAAACTTCTCCCCGCGTTTTGGGGGGGGAGGGGGCGTGGCGGTGCATTGAATTCAATGGCATTGCTTCCACGCCCCGGCGCCTGCAGTGCGATCGAATGCATGGCAAAACTTTGCCAGCGTTGCGGTCGACTGCAGACGCAAAAAATAGGGCTTGCTCTTATGTGCATACTTGAGAGCGGCTCAGTTTGGAGGAAGACCCATCCATGTGGTGAAGTAACTGACAAACGGGAGGAGGATTTGATGTAAGCGATTTTTGACCTGTGTATATACATACAAGGTCCTACCAATTCTGGTGACTTCACAGAGAGAAGGCAAGCATTGTGGTAGACCAGCATGTTTAAAACTTACACTGCATTCACATGGAGCAATCTGGGACACCTGGACAGGAACCTATGGATTCTTGTGGTAGGAATGTCAGGTATCACGCGTTTCACCAATCTGACTTAATCATAGAGTCGCCTCTATGATTAAGTCAGATTGGTGCAAGCGTAAGAGGTTGCACACATGGGGAGTTGTTCCACAGCATGTATTTGTTATTTTAGTAAATAACTGTTTTATCTATGGTGATCCAGGGAATTGCGGCTTGTTTTTGAGAATAATTGTGATACACGGCGGTGGTGAGTAGACTGCCTGCGCCCGTGGGGGGGTTATTCACAGTTGGATGGGGTCTGAGGATTGGAGCAGTGGACTGTCTGCATTATGAAGTAAAAAAAGCTGTGAATTTATAAAAATCCCATACTTTGGTATAGTACACAGCAGCTGAAGAGAATATTGGAGACATTAATGTAAGCACGGGGATGTGTATATTAGCGTGGATAATTTTTTGATATTATTATATTAATGGTTGTGTGCTGTTGGTGACGAGTAAATGTTGGCACTAAGTAAACCTGCGCATACACATGGACGTAAAATCTCAAACGCACCCAGTCTGCGTCTAAAATATTACGTCCGTTCAAATGTGCGGGTTTACGTAGTGCCGGCGTATACCCGGCGACAACAGTGTACATCCATTGACTTTAATGTGAGGCTGTAAGCCATTTATGGTGTATGGGAGTCTCCGTCTGTGTACAAGAACCCTTGAGGCAGGGGTGGGAAACTCCAGCCCTATAGCTGTGCCTTAAATACAAATCCCATCATGCCTCTGCCTGTAATTGTCAGTCTTGCAATGCCTCTTGGGACTTGTAGTTCCACAACAGCTGGAGAGCCGGAGTTATACACCCCTGCCTTAAGGGCTTTCAAATTACTTGATTCGATGATGGCGAGATTGAATGCTCTGACAAAGGATTCCAAACATTCAAACAAGATTCTAACAGTCAAAGGGCCGGGTTAATTCACAAAATGACATACAGTAGTAGTATATTGGCCAATGTTTTTTCAGAATCCTCAGGCAAGTCTAAAAAGCATGCCGTACATTTGCAGAGGAGTGGACACATTTGAGACATTTAGGTGATTCAAGAACTTTGTAAAACGTTAACTACTGTCTGCCCCGGGGACACCTTCCAGAAAACCCTCTACACTCCGTTTAGTGTTTGGAGTACAAGTAACAGCCCGAAAGTGACATATTCCATAATGTATTTCGCTCCGTCCGTCTGTTTGGGGTCTGCAGAATCCCCACGTGATCCATTCCCATACTGACAGCGCGCCCAGTGCTCACAAACAAGCAATTCATCAAATCCTCTCCAGATGTGCACAACGGAAGTCAAGGAGAGGTTCCCACCCTGTCAGATCCCCAGAAAGAGAGAAACATGAGAAGAGGACACCCAGGATAACACCTAACACTGTGTATCAGAAATAAGTAAGGTGTGTTTCTCCAGATTGAGAACTACAAGTCTCAGCCTTATACTCCAAGTCCCAGCATGCCTTAAATGGCTTAAGATGTAATAATCACAGAGCTGCGTCTACAGTTTTTCTGCTGTAGAAATAAAAGTCCCAGCATGCCATATCTACCCATGGCTATTAAACAGCATGCCATATCTACCCATTGGATTCTATTGTAAACACAATGATACTTTGTGTCCACCAACATTTGTTCTAGATCAGGAGTGCCCACAATTTTTTGTGTTAAGATCTACTTTTCAAATGACAAGCTACATGAGATCTACCAACGAAAAAAACCTCCCTCGCTCTCTCTTTCCTGGCTGTCTTTCCTTGCTCTCTCTCTCTCCTGGCTGTCATTCCTTGTTTTCTCTCCTGGCTGTCTCTCTTCGCTCTCTTGGCTGTCTCTCCTTGCTCTCTCTCCTGGCTGTCTCGCCTCTTTCTCTCTTTCCTGGCTGTCTCTCCTTGCTCTCTCTCCTGGCTGTCTCTCCCCGTTCTCTCTCCTGGCTCACCTTGCTGTATTTTGCAAACAGTGTAATGCAACAGGCTGTGTAAACTAATATTATTTGATGTAATACATAGCACTTCAACCACCAGTATCCACCAGAAAGGTGTTAGGGAGCTTGGCTCAGCAGACTCAGGCTAATAGGTAATCATGTGTGCACAGCTAAATAAATATACCAAAATGGAATAAAGGGGCCACCATTCACACCCTTCGTAATCTACCAGCATCAGCTTTGAGAGCTACTGGCAGATCACAATCTACCTAATGGGCACCCCTGTTCTAGATGACTGAAGTGTGGAATCTGAGTTCAGGTCAGCTCTATTATTACCTGTGACCTGGAGCTTCCCTTTTACTTCTACCCAAAAGCTGTGCTCGAGGGACACAAAGCAGCACCATAATGGAACATGCACCTCTATAAACAAGTAAGCAATGGCAGCACCATTCTATAATGACTAGTGTCCATTGGAAGGGAAATACCCCTTTAAATGCTACTATTATTTGTGAGCCCCCTGGCTTCCAGCACTTCCAGGGCATGGCCTTTCCCTTGACTGGCTGCCACATTGTCAGATTATTTCAGTGTTTTATTGCACAACTGCTTATACTGTAGATTGCACTGTATAACGGCTTTCTAGTGGTGTAAGAGTGGAGAGAGCAAGGTACGCAGCAAGGTGAGTGTCAAGAATGGGGTTATTGCTATGAACAGTTTTCAGGGCCGGGCTGATACACATTACTGAAATAAAATCATTCAATTATGTTTATGGATTTGATGATTTATTTCTGAGGATGTTTTTCTGCAGTACTCTCAACCACCGGTGGAGGGAGGGTTTCATTTTCCTTCTGTATAGGAGCTACCCCTCTCTTCCTTCCATTCATGCCTGGCCATACCCACAGACATCAGATGGAGGTCAACCCTGCTAGTACAATCTGATCACTGAAAAAGCTTTTGATAACTATGCACACTCAGATTAGCTGAGCATGCATGTTTATGTCTATGAGGCAAGTAGAGTGGAGAGCTGTACATCCTGTGCCTGTAGTACCCCAAGCAACCACCTGAGGTACTACATTCTTCTGCCCAAAACATGCCAGTTACCAGTTTCCTGGGAACAGATAATATGCAGGGTGTGACCTGACACTCAGAAAGGGTTGTGTCTGCGCCCTGCCCTTTCCCCTTTAACTGCACCATGATGGCTGACAGCACAACTTACCACAAAGCGGAATACAGGAAACTCTTACTGCATCATGGCAGATTTATCTCATCCTTCTGTTCAGCTATGGCATGCCAAGAAAGTGACGAAGACTCACACAGGACTATTTTCTAGAGATTTTGGCACTTGTCCCCAACTGTTGAGGCTCCCATAGATATTAGTTGACAGTCTAACAATCGGGCTTTCTTTATTGGCCTGTGCAACAATCCAAAATCTACAGGGTAGCGGCAGCCCCAAAGAAGGTGAAAAAAAAATGATCTGGAAGGTTACAGAACCTTAAGCATTCCCCAGCGCCAGGATTGTCTATGCAACTCCATCTTCTCACTCCATTGAACTGGTCGTACGACTACAGCGCTCCTAGTAAGGAAAGATTCTGTGAGACAAATCACATCGGTCAGCAGTGCAAAGCCAGCCTTTTCCAAGGACAGAAATGTCCAGGGGCAAATTTTTAGACTGAGAAGTCATAAACAGGTCAAGATCTTTAGACCTCCAAATCGAACGATGGTTAAGACTGTAGAGACACATCGATAAAATCTCTGTTATATGGAAACAGTCCTTCCAACTTTAATGCTCCATGCTTAAAACTTGTCCGGGATGGGCAGGAAAATCTCAAATGTATCCTTTCCATTCTTGGTTCTTCTCAGCAGATTCAAAAACTTCACTCATGGGTAAGCCCCTGTTTACACCTGTGAGATGCAACATCACACGAGGGGAGCAGCGTGTTTTTGGTGTGTTGTGGTAGGGTTGCCTACCACATCTAAATCTCAATAAATGAAGTACATGACCCTTGTTTTAAAAATTGCATTGGACCACGGGATTGTGGTGTGATTCAACCCACATGACATGTCTAGGTGCAAGGAGTGCCATTAAGAAATAGTGGTACCCCAGCACATCTAATAATATCAAATTAGATGTGGGAATGCACACATCCCTGCAATGTGTAGATGTGAACAAGGGTTAAAACAATCATTTGAACTTTTGCACAACTTTTCTTTCATGCAATATTCTCATATCAGAGTGATATGCGCTGATTTTATCACCAATTGCAACATAAACAGCAAGAAGTTAGCAAAGATAATCTTTCACTTTTCACCCTGAGTGCTAAAACAAACAGCTTTCATTAGACGTCGCTGCATGTGCAGTCCAAATTGTATTGAACCATGCCAACTATTCCAGTCGATTGTTCGAGGCGTATTCATAAAGTGACAAATGGAAACAGTGATCATTTGTTCCTTTTTTAGTGCATTATTCGCTGGACTTAAAACACATTCGCTGCACGGTTTACCCACTTCACAGATAGAGCATTTCTCACCAACATCTGTTCTTCCTGAAATTCAGGTCATGGTAGGATTGGCCGTTTTAATAACAAAGTGACTGTTACGTGCAACAGTTTGTACAGTAGTTATCGCTATCCAATAATCAATTTTATGAATGACTTGTTATGCACACTCGTCATCATCCTCATGCCCCCCTGAAAATCGAGATTCCAGATGGGATCGCCACTTGCCTATAGTGGCACATATCTTTTTATTTTGAGGGATATGCTCTAAGTGTGTTCTAATCTTTCACAATCAATGAATCCCTCAAAGTGATCAGAATCATCAATATAACAATCTTTTGTGGTAATAAATATTTGATAGACATCCCTTGGCCAATGTTGGGCGCAAAATCGATTGGCTTCACTGTTGTCCCCAAACTGGGAATGTCCTGCTCCTCTCCCCTCCTCCGTATGAATAAACATTTATTTTAGAAATTGGAGCATGCATATTTATGAAAAGATCTTCAGGAAAAATAACTTTTGGTGGTCGTATTAGCAACCAACGCCTGCGGCCGATTTAACCTGGATTGACATAAGTTGCACAAGAACTGCGCATAGTCATATCTGCACCCCGATGCCTTTTGGAGTGCTGCGTTTTTTAGTCGTTCCGCATGCTGCATCGTAGAGACCCATGCGGCAAGTGTGCTTTCTATTTCATTCAATGATGGAGTGCGTATATAGATGCAGGAACAAGAAAAGTTTGTAAAGACAAAACTTATTTTAAAACGCCCGGTCGCCCACGAAAAAAGCATGCAAAAAAAAACGCAAACAAAACTTCATAATGATGCCAAATGGAAATGCAAATGTTTAAAATTCTCACATATGAGGAACAACCCTCCCTTGCTTTAGGGCATTTGCAAAAAAAAAGCGTTCCCACGAACTAACACAGCTCACGTCTGTGAAAGTAAAACTTTTGAAACTCGTCACAAAACTACTGGTGAACTTTAACCGTCACTAACCTCAGAGGACAAGTCCAGGCACAATGACACGGTTCCAGGAGTCAGAGGATGGGATGTACGCAGGGAATTGTCACATTGACCCAGGATCCAGCACTGTTTCTACTTCCACAGCCTTCGGGATCCCTGGACTGACTATTAAACCGAGGGGAGGAAGGCGGGGGGAGGGAGTAGGAGGGAGACACCGCGCATCTAATAAAGAGGTTATGGAGAGGTGATTACAACATACTACAGAGGGATCCAGCCTGGGTTAAGTTAGCCATACACTGGTAAATTACTGTACGAACGTTCATACGAAACATCTGGTCAGAACATTGCATAAAGCCATCAGAGACTTGACGAATGTCCTTTTTTCGTTTGATTTCAACATTCAATTTTGGAATTAATGGAGTTTCCCAAATGAAAACCACATTCACTGTTATAATTTTATTCGTCCCAAAATGTTTTTCCATCCTGCTCCTTCATTTCTTTTCACCGCTGCAGTTGAAATTGATTGTCAATTTGACCCCCATTAACTATTAAAAAGTCAAGCAAATGTTCCAAAAATGACTTTTTTTCGAACAAAACTCTACTGGTGTATGGCCAGCTTTACTATTATGTCTCAGCATCTCAGAGGGCACTTGCTGCATGTGTGACCATCGTCAGACGCAATGCACAACGCCATACACCCCGACATTCTAATGTGAATTTAAAGGTCCCTTCAAAACACGTGTTGGGGCTGCACTGACCGTTGTTTCCAGCACAGCCCCAACGCAAGACAAGGCAATTTCCCTTGTCATGGATGGGCACCTTTCACACCACCAACTTGCAGTGGGAACGCAGTGCTGTGCGCTGAATAAAAGTATGGCATTACTTTTTTTCAGTGCAGTGGCGCAGATCAACCTCCTCCCACTCCCGCTGTGCCTGTAGAACTGAATGAAATGCCACATTTAAAAAAAATTATTTACAAAAATAATGTGCTATGTGCTAGGATCAGTGCATCAGCACTGTGTCGGGCAACGCAAACCAGCTGCTGTGGGTTTTGCGCAGCAGCTGGTGTGAATAGATCCTGAGTTGTAAAATTTTAACACAGGAATATTCAAAAAATAAAAGGACAAAACAAACACAAAAGTTGTGTGAAATTCTCTATAAAAAAACTCTTTGAAAATCTGTGTGTAAAACATTTGCTCAGAAAGAAAACCTGTGGTGGGAGGAATGCGTACACAGCCACCACTAAGGCAGGCACTGTCCCCGGGAGGAACTATAATCAGAACCCCCCTGTTCTACAAGGCAATTCCCTGAGCCGTCAAAAGGCAGCTAATGTGTGGCCAATGGACAGGATCCGTTCCCTGCAGAGAAAGACACCTGCTGGTAGGAACGGGAGTTGCTCTGAAAGGACAGGGACAGGGATATAAGATTGCAGGCAAGTGTGAAGGTCCGAAGGTCATGCAGGTCAGGAGTTTGGGCAGGCAGCAAGGCGGATGAGGGGTCACGAATAGGCCACAAGCCACCCACAATGGCAGGAAGTACAATTGTGGTTGGAATTAGGTGATATATGGGGACATTATTATTAGTGGAATGCAATTAGGGATTCTTTTTGACAGCTCTATGACAGCTGTCAGCATATCAGAGTACTAGGGAGTAGAGATTATTATTATTATATAGGATTTATATAGCGCCAACAGAGCTTTACAATATAAGGAAGACGTTACAATCACAATACAATTCAAGACAAGCTGGTAAGGAGGGCCCTGCTTGTGAGGGCTTACAATCTAGAAGGGATGGGCAAGGGATACATAAGGAGGTAGATGTGTGGGGATGAATTGTTTGAGAACATGATGGTTGAGTGGTTAGTTTGAGGTGCGATAGGCTTCCCTGAAGAGAGAGTCTTAAGGGATCGCCTAAAGGCAGTCAGAGTGGGAGATAGACGGACAGGTTGGGGTAAAGAGTTCCAGAGGATTTTGAAGAGCGGAGGGGACAGTTAGGGATTGGCAGAGGTTGCAGACACTGAGCAGTTGGTTAGGTGGATGAGTCCTACTGCAGCATTCATAAACGCGGGATATTGAAGGGGGGATAGCCTTTGTAGTGGTAGGCCAATGAGGAGGGAGTTGCAATAGTCAAGACGAGAGATAACAAGTGAGTGGATGAGTAGCTTTGCGGTTTCATTGGTGAGGAAGGGGTGTATTTTGGAGATGTTACAAAGGTGAAGGTGGAAGGATTTGGATAGTGATTGGATGTGGGGAAGAAAGGTGAGGTCCGAGTCAAGGATGACACCTAGCACCTTGGCATGGGGCAGCGATAGTTGTGTTATCAATCTCAAGAGAAAATTTCGGGGAAGGTGCAGAGGCGGGAGGGAATATCATGAGCTCAGTCTTTGAAAGGTTAAGTTTTAAGAAGTGTTGTGACATCCAGACTGATATGTCAGTTAGTAGATTAGTGACACGCAAGGACACTGAGGGGGTGAGTTGTGGAGTAGAAAGGTAGATTTGAGTGTCATCGGCATAGAAAGCCATGTGAGGTTATTAACTGACCAAGGGAGGTGGTGTAGATAGAGAAGAGAAAGGGTCCAGGGACAGAGCCTTGGGGGACCCCTTAAGAAAGAGGAAGAGGAGAGGAGGAGTTAGATTTGTAGGTGACACTAAAGGAGCACTTAGATAGGTAAGAGGAGAACCATGAAAGAGCAGAGAGATGTAGACCAAGCGAGTGGAGTTTTTTTTAGGAGGAGCAGGTGGTCAACAGTGTCAAAAGCAGCAGAAAGGTCTAATAGCAAGAGTAAAGAGTAGTGGCCATTTTTTTTAGCAGTTAGTAAGTCATTAGTGAGTTTTAGGAGGGCAGTTTCAGTGGAGTGTAGGGGGCAAAAGCCAGACTGTAAGGGGTTGAGAAGGTTGTTATCAGTGAGGTGGTTGCTGTAGATAAGGCGTTCTAGGAGTTTGGAGATGAATGGGAGTAAGGAGATTGGTCTGATATTGTTGAGGTTGGTAGGGTCCAGTGAGGGTTTTTGGGGTATTGGGGTGACCAGTGCATGCTTTAGAGGGAAGAGAAAGATGCCAGTAGAGAGTGAAAGATTGAAAATGTGAGTAAGAGAGTGTAGGATAGAGCAAGAGGGTGACCGGAGTAGTGGTGAGGGAACAGGGTCCAGGCGGCAAGTGGTCAGGTGAGTGTCAGAGAGAAGCTTTGTAACCTCCTCTGCGGTGGCAGGGTCAAAAGAGGACATTAACAAGTCTGATGGTGGGTCTGGTACATTAATAGGGGTAGGAGGCTGGATAGTGGCAATCTGATCCCGAATTATATCTATTTTGTTTTTGAAATGAATGGCAATGTCCTGGGCAGTGAGTGAGTTAGTAGGTGGTGGTGGTGGGGGACATAGTAGATAGTTAAAAGTAGAAAAGAGTTGACGTGGTTTGGATGAGAGTGTGTTAATGAGAATGACAAAATAAGTCAGTTTGGCAGCACGTAGGAAAGAGTTATATTTTAGGAGGGCAGCTTTATACAGGGTGAATTCTTGCAGAAGCCAAGTTTTCCGCCACAGTCGTTCAAGAGCGATGCTATGTCTTTTTAGATGTCTGGTTTCTTTAGTTTGCCACTGTTGTAGTTGACGTGGTCTCAGTCTGTGTGTAGTGAGGGGAGCCAAAGTGTCTAGGGAGGATGAGAGCTAGCTGTTGTAGACAGAAGTAGCCAAGTCAGGGCAGGACAGGGGTGAGATTTTGTCATAGAAATAGTCAGTAGCAGAGAAGAGAAGGGTTAAGGTGGCAAAGGTTTCTCCGGGTGACAGTATGCCATGTAGGGAGATTCAGGGTTGGGGACAGGGTGAGTGTGAAACTGACAAGGTTATAGTCTGAGAGGGGAAAAGAGGTTTTGGAGAGGTTGCAAGGAGTGCATAGGTGAGAGAAAACAAGAATGTTACCATCAGAGTGAGTAGGAGTGTGTGTCCATTGTGTTAGATCAAAATCAGATGTTAGGTTAAAAAATTGAGTGGAAGCCGGGGTGTTAATGTTATTAGCAATGTTAAAGTCACTAAAAATGATAGTGGGTATTTCTGAGAGAAAGTAGGCTAGCCAGGCAGAGAAGTCATCAAGAAAGCGAGATACTGGTCCAGGCGGCCGGTATATAACAGCAATCCTCACCGAAATTGGAGAGAATAAGCAAATACAGTGGGTTTCAAAAGAGGAGAGGGATAGAGAGGGTGGTAAAGGCAGGCCCGGATTTCCCACAAGGCCACCGAGGCCCGGCCTCGGGACGGCAGAGTGCAGAGGGGCGGCAGCGGTGTCCTTGTGGGGAAGTTGCAGGCGCTGGGCGGTAAGTTGCCCTCTCTACAGTTAATCCTGCTTTGTACAAGCAGGTCTAAATGTAGAGTGAGGCAGCCGATTGTTCGTTTACATGTCATCCCAACAATGTCGCCGAGATGACATGTAAAAAGTCCGCAGCCGGCCGGTCCGTCCTCCCCTCCCCCCTGCACTTACCTCTCTCCTCGCTGGTTCCGTCCTCCAGGCTCCGCCGCCGAGTCTCTCCTCACTGCAGTGATCAGAGCGGCAGGGTTAAATTAACCCTGCCACTCCGTGTAGACAGTGAGAGGGGAGAGCTGTGCTCTTCCTCTCTCACCTGTCACAGGAGTTCCAGCACAGTACTGTGCTAGAACTCCTGTATTGGAGGTGACAGGGTCAATAAAGAGAACCTGTCACCTCCAATTGCTATCACACAGGGGATTTTTATCTCCTGTGTGGTAGCAATAAAGTTAGGTGAAAAACATTTTTTAATTTGGGCGTATTGCGGAACCTGGCCTTGGGGCGGCAGGGAGAGTAAATCCGGCCCTGGGTAAAGGCAGAACTTGAAAAGTGCATTGTGGGGATAGAAGGATTCCCACTCCACCTCCTTTCCGTCCACTGGGTCTGGATGAATGTGTCCAGTGGAGACCACCATGGGAGAGGGCAGCAGGGGAGGAAGAGTCAGATTCCTGAAGCCAGGTTTCAGTAACTGCAACTGCAGAGATGAGCATCCCTGGCAACATTCGGTTTGCAGGAGCTTTGGAGAACCCAGGAAAAAGTCTGCTAAATCCAACCATAGGGCCGAACCCCTTTGAAGTCTACGGGAGCCGAATCTTGTTATTTGTTTGGAGCCTTTGTCAAAGTTGCTTGAAAGCTTTTGTTAAAAAAAAAGGTGTGCGTA